CACTAACTGTCACGTGTGTGCCTCACCACTGAATAGGGATTCCGTGAGAGATCACTGTCACGTAACCGGTAAGTATAGAGGCGCCGCTCACAGCGCGTGTAACCTCAAGCTTAGAATCAACCCTAAGACAATAAACATTCCCGTGGTCTTTCACAACTTGAGAGGGTATGACTCACACTTGATCATGCAGGCCATCGCGAAAATCGATGGCAATATAACGTGTATCCCCAACAACATGGAGAGATACATCTCCTTCAGCTTAAACGGTCTTAGGTTCATAGATTCAGTACAATTTCTATTGTCTTCATTAGACAGTCTGGTCAAGGCCAACGATACCTTCCCTATTACCGATCGATACACGGACGCCGAGACTAGACCCCTGCTTATGAGGAAGGGTGTGTATCCCTATGAGTACATGGATAGTTGGCCTAAGTTCACCGAGACCAGACTACCCCCCATCAGAGAATTTTACAGCAATCTGACCGACTCGGAAATATCCCAAGACGATTACTCACACGCTATTAATGTATGGAATAAACTGGGTTGTAAGAACCTGGGTGACTATCACGACCTGTACTTGAGGACAGATGTACTGTTGTTAGCCGACGTGTTTGAGACGTTTAGGCGGACGTGTTTCAAGCAGTATAAACTCGACCCCGCATGGTATTACACCAGCCCAGGTCTGTCGTGGGATGCCTTGTTGAAAAAGACTGGAGTTAAGTTGGAATTGCTTACAGATTATGACATGCACCTATTCATTGAGAAAGGCTTGCGAGGCGGGATCTCCATGGCAACCAAGCGATACGCGAAAGCAAATAATCAATACGTGAAGGGTTACGACCCTAGCAAGCCAACCAATCACATTCTCTACCTCGACGCCAACAACCTGTACGGCTGGGCTATGAGCCAGTATCTACCCACAGGGGGATTCGAATGGGCGTCACCCATTGATGTTATGAGCATCGCACCAGATTCGAATAAAGGTTATATCCTCGAAGTTGACTTGGAATACCCCAAGGCATTACACACATCACACAACAGCTACCCCCTGGCCCCCGAACGTATGAGGGTTAACCCAGACTGGATGTCTGAGTACCAACATAACTTATTAGGTGGGCGGGTGGCAGACGTTGAAAAACTCGTGCCTAACTTAATGAATAAGACCAAGTACATCGTTCACTATCGCAACCTACAGCTGTACCTGTCGTTGGGTATGAGGCTGACCAAAATACACAGGGTGCTCATGTTCGACCAGAGCCCATGGATGGAACCCTACATCAGAATGAACACAGACCTCCGAAAGCTTGCCACCAGTGACTTTGAGAAAAACCTCTACAAGCTCATGAACAACTCGGTGTTCGGTAAGACTATGGAGAACCTGAGGAAACGCGTGACCGTGAAGCTGGTTCGGTCGAATGAGGAAGACAAGCTCAGGAGACTGATAGCCAGTCCGGCATTCAACCGTAGCAAGATATTCACCGATGACCTAGTTGCCCTACACATGAAGAAAAGCCACATAAAATTCAACCGGCCTGTTTACGTGGGGATGAGCATCCTCGATTTATCCAAACACCTGATGTACGACTTTTACTACAACGAGCTTAAGAAACAGTACGACGACAGGTGTGAAGTGCTGTACACTGACACGGATTCCCTGCTGATGGAGATTCGAACCGAGGACGTGTACGAGGACATGAAAAAACACCTCGATTTGTATGACACCAGCGACTACCCCAAGGCCCATGCCATACACAGTACGGTAAATAAAAAGGTCCTAGGTAAGATGAAGGACGAGTGTGCTGGCACGCCCATAGCCGAAGTACATAGGTTTGAGGCCTAAGATGTATTCCATACTGAAGGCCGACAATGGTGAGATCCGGAAGGCTAAGGGTGTTAAGAAGTACGTGGTTAAACAACACATCAAACACGCCAGATTCAAGGAAGCCCTGTTCAAGACCCGTACATTTAGGCATAAAATGAACACACTTAGAAGTGATGGCCATAGGATATACGGACTGACAATAAACAAGACGTCCCTGTCGCCTATGGACACTAAACGTTGGATAGCTATTGATGGGATCAACACGTACGCGTACGGGCATGAGAAAATTGAACCAAGAGAGAAAGTTTGAGGCTATTTACTACAGCCCGCGTGGGTACTGGAAAGGAGCTAGCGCTGTAGATAAGCTGGCTAAAATGGCGCGAGTACCCCCGGAGGAGGCCAAAGCGTGGCTTGAAAAACAAGCCCTGTGGCAGATCTATTTACCGGCACCACGCTACGTGCCTAGAAGGAGGTTCGGTATTAACATACCCAATAGCGTTCACCAGGCAGACCTACTGTTCCTACCCCACGACAAGAGGTACAAGTATGCCTTAACCGTAGTGGACGTGGCCAGTCGCTACAAGGAAGCCGAACCCTTGACTGCGAAAGATTCGGCCCAGGTAGCCAGAGGATTCGAACGCATATACAAACGCAGTCCGCTGACATGGCCAACAGAGCTGCAAGTTGACCCCGGGCGGGAGTTCATGGGTGACGTGTCACAACTGCTAGCCAAACACGATACAAAGGTCAGGCGTGGCACGGCTGGAGCCCATCGCAGCCAAGCCATAGTTGAGAGATTTAATAGGACTTTGGCTGAGCGCTTATTCGGCCATCAGTATGCGAGGGAGATGGCAACCCCGGGAAAACGATCGACTGAATGGGTATCACGGCTCCCTAAGGTGGTGTCGGCAATCAACCATGAAACCACCCGGCTCACTGATAAGAAACCGGCAGACGCTATCAAACTAAAATCAATAGTTGCAGAGTCGGCTGCTCCATTGCGTGGAAAAGAGAAACAGATACCAGATAGGGCCCTAGTGAGGTATCTATACCAGCCGGGGGAACACGAGGGTGATAGCGGTAAGCGAGCCACCGATCCTATATGGTCAGTCAAAACTTACAACATAGATAAAGTGGACATCAAAGCAGACGAGCCTAACTTGTACTACTTGAGGGATGGGCCAGGTAGGGGGTTTGTAAGAGCGGAATTATTGATCGTACCGTAGGGCACAGTGTTACCTCCAGTCAACACGGCATAGCGGTGCCCCAGGATACCAACACACTCCAGCCATACCCCCGGTGCGGCTAGGAGGTCCCGCTATCGTCCCAAACTTTTTTATAGTAGGGGTAATAGCAGCAAGAGCTAAGGGTCCGACCAAAGCCTTATCTGTGAAATAAGGCTTTGCAGAGGCTTTGGTTGAAAGTGGTCCAGAACCCCCCATTGTATATACTACTACCTCCGCAACTAAGCTGGAACACTGCAGCTTGCGGCATTAGAGGACCAACCAACTAACTAAAATATGCGGCGTAAAACTAAACTCCCTCAGTCACTCACTCGTGGTTCAAATTTGCACAAAATGGCGCAAAATGACACTCATACCTCCAGCTCTAAATATTCAGGGTTTGGCAGCACTAAGTTACCGTAGCGCTGCCTTGACCATAACACGAATACTGTATCATACATAGACGTTGTGAAGCCCTGGTTTGGATCGAATTTACCTGCTCTATTAACTGTATAGCTAAAATATTTAGTTCGAGTTGTTTTCGGAGCTTGAGCAATTGATTGTCTGGTCTGGACTCGATTATTTACAGACGGCCAGCATATAGCTGGAATATTGCTGAGTGTGGCGTTAAACAACAACCCAACCCAAATCGTGTGATGTTCGCAGCACACACCATTGTCCTGTCACAAAACATTCATTGTCGGCTTCCTCGTTGATAGGAGACCAATACAGTTTGTTCAGGAACATGTTTGTTGTATTGTGCCTTTGTTACATTTGACCCTAAACATATCGACACAACATAACATCAAACGATAACATATCTACCTATATATAATAATTATGATACTCATGTGATGTTTTTAAGTCATATTTTTTCATTCCGACGCAATTTTGAGTGGTCATAACGTGATATCGCAGCCAACATGTACATTATCAGACAAATGTTTGTGAAATCAATACTGACACCAGGAACATGCGGTAGTTACATCGTTCGGGATTGATCGGCGCATTGACATAAAGGTGGCACTTGTTGGTTTAACACTGTAAACTTTTCACATTCAGGAAACAACATCCATTCTAAAATTGAAGTGTATCTGCGAACTGTACATCGATTCAATTTAAACTTGACATCAGACAAACTAAAGTCGGTTCAGACACGCCCTGATAGTTCAATGCAAACAACGCAAACATTTCAGCTTCGGGAGACGATGCAGGAGGGCGGTAGTGGGGGGATAGCCTAGTGGTTAAAGCGTTCGTTCGTCATGTCGAAAACCCGGGTTCGATTCCCCACATGGGTACGATGTGTGAAGCCCAATTCTGGTGTTCCCCGCAGTGATGTTGGTGGAATATTGCTAAAAGCGGGGTAAAACCTCACTCATTCACTCAGCGAAAACTGTACATTTTGTCCATTAAAAATGAATTCCATCCGGGTGATGTGAAAATTCTGAGTACGTGAAACCTCTGTCTTATCAAACTCGCATATTTTCCATATTCATGATGTTAACATTTTAAAATTTTTTACGCATTTCATGAATTATACTACAGAATTCCGTTTCATTATGACTACTTTTAATCCATAATAATTAATGGAATATTAGTCACGAAACGCTTTCTTCATAAAATGGGAAAGTCATTTGATGATCTTTGCAACATAATTTAATATATATATATTAATAAGTAATTAATATTTCAAAGTAGGGATATATATTTTGTTTAAACCGGTGTCACAAAATATTGATATTATATATCTTTCATAAGACAAATAGTCTAACAGGTGTAATGGGACACCTGGTTGAGATATGCAATAGCGTTGTACGTCAGATGCCTGTAGATTTTGTTAGATGATCGGCCAAAGCCTAAATCTGTTTGCGTTTAAGTCGAAAATAGGACAATAACTCGAAGTCATATCGTACACCTCTGACGAAAACTGAGAAACAGACTGTAAACCAACCTACCTGAAAGGTATCGGTCAGTGTGGTCAGTTTGGTCAGTGTGGTATGTTGCTAACCCGTCCGTCCAGAGTGGTGTCTCACTTGTCCTCTCCACACAAACTATTGATCCACAACAGGGAAGTTTTCGTTGAGGAAAAAGTAGCAAAACGCCATCAACTGTTCTACATGTCACTCTATATGTGTATATTTCGACAATCAACATTGGAGCAAGCCTGGCACGCCCAGATAACTCATCTGAATATATTCACCTGTCCAGGTGTATTCACGTGGGTCAGTATCTTGAGGAAACTTTCAACTGTGAATACGAGCTAGTATGTACATTTTCAGAGAGAGGCCGGCTGACTGAATAAGACTAAAATCTGTGAGCTGATTATATGTTAAGTGAATAGACGATGTAATGATTTATTCAAGACATATAGTCGATTCAGAATTTATTATTGAATATCGGCCAAGCAAAAGCAAATAAGATCATAATGGCTTGATCGACACGATTTTATCTGTTTCAGAAGTTTCACATGATACACCATGTGTAGATCATAGGGTCAGATCGTGTAGATCATAGGGTCAGATCATCAAGGGAAGCTCATGATCGGACATGGTACACCACGTGTAGATCATAGGGTCAGATCATCAAGGGAAGTTTATGATCAAACATGATACACCACGTGTAGATCATAGGGTCAGATCATCAAGGGAAGTTCATGATCAAACATGGTACACCACGTGTAGATCATAGGGTCAGATCATCAAGGGAAGTTTATGATCAAACATGATACACCACGTGTAGATCATAGGGTCAGATCATCAAGGGAAGTTTATGATCAAACATGATACACCACGTGTGGATCATAGGGTCAGATCATCAATGGAAGTTTATGATCAAACATGATGCACCACGTGTAGATCATAGGGTCGGATCGTCAGGGGAAGTTTATGATCAAACATGATAGACCACGTGTAGATCATAGGGTCAGATCATCAAGGGAAGTTTATGATCAAACATACACAACGTGTAGATCATAGGGTCAGATCATCAAGGGAAGTTTATGATCAAGCATGATACACTACGTATAGATCATAGGGTCAGATCATCAAGGGAAGTTTATGATCAAACATGATACACCACGTGTAGATCATAGGGTCAGATCATCAAGGGAAGTTTATGATCAAACATGATGCACAACGTGTAGATCATAGGGTCAGATCATCAAAGGGAAGTTTATGATCAAACATGATAGACCACGTGTATCATCATAGGGTCAGATCATCAAGGGTTGTTTATGATCAAGAATGATGCACTACGTGTAGATCATAGGGTCAGATCATCAAGGGAAGTTCATGATCGGACATGGTACACCGCGTGTGGATCATAGGGTCAGATCATCAATGGAGGTTTATGATCAAACATGATACACCACATGTAGATCATAGGGTCAGATCATCAAGGGAAGTTTATGATCAAACATGATGCACAACGTGTAGATCATAGGGTCAGATCATCAAGGGAAGTTTATGATCAAACATGATAGACCACGTGTGGATCATAGGGTCAGATCATCAAGGGTTGTTTATGATCAAGAATGATGCACTACGTGTAGATCATAGGGTCAGATCATCAAGGGAAGTTCATGATCGGACATGGTACACCACGTGTAGATCATAGGGTCAGATCATCAAGGAAAGTTCATGATCGGACATGATACACCACGTGTAGATCATAGGGTCAGATCATCAAGGGAAGTTCATGATCGGACATGGTACACCACGTGTAGATCATAGGGTCAGATCATCAAGGGAAGTTTATGATCAAACAAGGTACACCGCGTGTGGATCATAGGGTCAGATCATGAAGGAAAGTTTATGATCAAACATGATACACCACGTGTAGATCATAGGGTCAGATCATCAAGGGAAGTTCATGATCGGGCATGATATTCCACGTGAAGATGATACCGTCACATCATCAAGGGAAGTTCATGATCGGACATGGTACTCCACGTGTAGATCATAGGGTCACATCATCAAGGGAAGTTCATGATCGGATCTAATACATAATCAAAATTCGATTATCTTTGAAAAGTCCTTAGTATTCATTAATATATGGTGTTTAATTCCATATTTTAGTTCAGTGCTTGTGGGAAGGAGATATACTAGTTTTTCTTTGCACCACACTAAAGGATGACCTCGGACAGCTGGTACGCAGACAATCTAGTCTGCCACAGTGAAGGATGACCTCGGACAGCTGGTACGCAGACAATCTAGTCTGCCACAGTGAAGGATGACCCCGGACAGCTGGTACGCAGACAATCTAGTCTGCCACAGTGAAGGAAGACCTCGGACAGCTGGTACGCAGACAATCTAGTCTGCCACAGTGAAGGATGACCTCGGACAGATGGTACGCAGACAATCTAGTCTGCCACAGTGAAGGATGACCCCGGACAGCTGGTACGCAGACAATCTGTCTGCCACAGTGAAGGGATTGTGTAAGTCATGAAGAGTCGGAGTCGAAAGTCCAGCGACTCACAGAGAACCAACGACAAGGCTCTATCAAACTCAAGTTAATGAACAAATGTTATCAGAAGTACAGATGTATAATAACTAGGTTAAACGTGGGCAAAATGCATGACGTCAACAAAATACAGTTTACATATTGCAGTACAACAATCATACGAAACATATTTCAATAGTTGACTGTTGTGGTCAAGATATTACATCCTGCTTGATAAGTACGGGTTTGTACGGACACACAGGAACACACAACGACAAATAGATACAGTCAGACACACATACGACACAAACGCATACAGAGATGAAGTGACACACGGGTGGTCACTCACGAGACACACCGCGGCTCAAACATAAACAGATATACGACACAAACGCTTATACAGACACAAGACGCAAACGCGTATACAGACACACGAAACAAACGCATATGCAGACACACGACACAAACGCATATACAGACACAAGACACAAACGAATATACAGACACAAGACACAAACGCATATACAGACACAAGACGCAAACCCATATGCAGACACACGACACAAACGCATATACAGACACACGACACAAACGTATATACAGACACAAGACGCAAATGCATATACAGACACACGAAACAAACGCATATACAGACACAAGACGCAAACTCATATACAGACACACGACACAAACGCATACACAGACACAAGACGCAAATGCATATACAGACGCAAACGCATATACAGACACAAGACGCAAACCTATATACAGACGCACGACACAAACGCATATACAGACACAAGACACAAACGCATATACAGACATAAGACGCAAACGCATAAACAGACACACGAAACAAACGCAAATACAGACACACGACGCAAACGCATACACAGCCACACGATACAAACGCATATACAGACACACGACGCAAATGCATATACAGACACAAGACGCAAACTCATATACAGACACACGACACAAACGCATACACAGACACAAGACGCAAATGCATATACAGACGCAAACGCATATACAGACACAAGACGCAAACCCATATACAGACGCACGACACAAACGCATATACAGACACAAGACACAAACGCATATACAGACACAAGACGCAAACGCATATACAGACACAAGACACAAACGCATATACAGACACACGACACAAACGCATATACAGACACACGACACAAACGCATATACAGACACAAGACACAAACGCATATACAGACACACGACGCAAACTCATATGCAGACGCACGACACAAACGCATATACAGACACACGACACAAACGCAATTACAGACACACGACACAAACGCATATACAGACACACGACGCAAACGCATATACTTACAAAAGACGCAAACGCAAATACAGACACACGACACAAACGCATATACTTACAAAAGACACAAACGCATATACAGACACAAGACACAAACGAATATACAGACACACGAAACAAACGCATATAGAGACACACGACGCAAACGCATTACGGACACAAGACACAAACGCATATACAGACACACGACACAAACGCATATACAGACACATGACACAAACGCATATACAGACACAAGACACAAACGTATATAAAGACACACGACACAAACGTATATAAAGACACACGACACAAACGCATATACAGACACAAGACGCAAACGCATATTCACACACACACAAAGACACGCAGCGACACAAACATTCAAATAGATACACACACGCACACACACACAAACTTAATATGCACACATACGACACAAACGCATACACAGGTACAGATACACACATACAGACACTCGACGCAAACACATACACATATATAGACACACAAAGATACACAATCACACACACACACACACACACACGGGGCGGCTTGCCTCGTGGATTTCTGACACACATTCAGCTGCCGTTGTTTGACTGAATATTGAATACATTCATGTAGAATGATGACAATATTTATGTACACACAACTTCTTTATTCAGTATAGGCGACGTTTCGACATAGATTCGATTGTAGTTGTCAAACAAGCGATGTACGTTCACGCATGCGTGTATTGTGTACAAGGAAAAGTATCACAAGTTACCAAATGGACACGGTAACAATAAACCAACGCTAGGATTGAAACCAGGTAGTACAAACAATGTCACAATGTCACAATCGAAAAGCGTCAGTAACAAAGCGCGTTTTGTTTACCAACAACCAATCTGTTTACTTTTGAAGTCGTTTGTATCCTCAAGGCTTTTGTTCATCGAAACGCAAGCATTTCACTTTTGAATGGCTATGAGGAAAATTCCATTCACGGCATATGATATGTGTAGTTGTTAGAACCAGAAAGGCTACCTTAATGGCAGTAAGAATCAACAGAGTATATTTACAGTTTGATAACAGTGGCGCCCACGTTTAATGTGTGCAGCAAAGGGGAGGGTGGGGTGGGGTGGAACAAATCTACATACATGAAAGTCTAAATGTGTTTCATACTGTGCACTATACCCGCACGAGGAAGACATATTTATATGAGTGAGCGAGTGTGTTTTTTCGCCTCGTTTAGCAATATTCCAGCAATATCACGGCGGGGGACACCAA